GCCTGTTTGAAATATTTTTGTAGATGCAATGTTAACAGGCAATACCAAAATTCATCCTTTCATCTTTTTTAGTATGGAACACGTTAACTTAGTCACTAATTTATTAAAAATTATGTTTGTAATCACAGTTCTGCCTATATTTTATATAAGATTTTACTGGAACTATCACTGCATTTAGACACACTCAGAAAACTTAGCAGCTTGCTACCATTTTTGTTCTCATAATGATAAGTTTTTGATCTGCATCTCAGTCTAAAACCAGTCTTGTCTGCAATATCCCTATAGCTATCAGGAAGCTTCAGAGCAAGAGCCAGAAACCTGCAATGAAGGAGATGGGAAACTTAAATTGCTTCAGTCCAGTGCTGCCTGCATTCTACTTTTTCACTGTCAATTCATACATCAACTTTTCAAATGAAAAGGATTATATTTAACACCAACCATGTTAGCAAAGTCCACATGGTGTGAATTTACAACCTGGTTAAAGAAGGAAAGAAATACATCATACGTGGTCTGATAGCAGTCCATACCCAAAGAAATATTCCACTGAGATGCCCAATGGCCTATCCAGTATCGATCCACCCCATGACCTCAGGTGAGCCAGGGAAAGTGCACTTCTCCATAGCAGAAGAGTTTCTCATTACTGCATTAGTGGGTGTGTTGCTGTTTTCCTGTACCTAAATCAATAAATTATTCTCTAAGAATATTTGCTGCTCTGTGTCACAGCATTTCTGTATTCTTGCAATGGGGAGCTACAGCTCTGAGATAGACTTATTGTCTCGTTAATGGGGGGAGATATGGTCAAATTCCCCAAATGAATCACAGTTAAGAAGTGGCAGGAGCAGAAGAAATAAGACATGACATGTTCCATTGCTGCAGCTTCTCCTTGCTTCTGGAAAGTAACTACCTTTTTCATAACCATGTTGTCAGTGTATTTCCAAGACTAGTTTTTAAAGCGGAGTCTCATTACACCAGTCTGGTCTTTAATACGTGTCTATTTACTTTTATCAATGGCTTTTGAAGCAGCCTTCAAAGACACTTGCTTAAAACAGGTTTTCCATCCACTAATTAAACCTTAACAATCCCTTGTAATGAGCAACACATTTTTTCCCCCAAAATGTACATGTCTAAGGTGGCTGCTCATGTCAGCACTGAAGGGAGAGGTCATTTCTGAAGGATCCTCCATCACAAACATCAGAGAACAGTAAAGTCACTGAAGGGTATCCAAAGCAGAAGCAATTTTCATAGAATCATAGAATGGTTTCGGTTGGAAGGCACTTTAAAGATCATCTAGTTCCAACCCCCCCCGCCATGGGCAGGGACACCTTCCACTAGACCAGGTTGCTCAAAGCCCCATCCAACCTGCCCTGGAACACTGCCAGGGATGAGGCATCCACAACCTGTTCCAGTGCCTCACCACCCTCACAGTGAAGAACTTCCTTACATCTAATCCAAACCTACCCTCTCTCAGTTCAAAGCCATTACCCCTTGTCCTATCACTACATGCCCTTGGAAAAAGTCCTTCCCCAGCTTTCTTGTAGCCCAAGGCTGCTAAAGGTCTTCCCAGAGCCTTCTCTTCTCCAGGCTGAACAACCCCAACTCTCTCAGCCTGTCTTCATAGGAGAGGTGCTCCAGCCGCCCGATCATCTTTGTGGCCCTCCTCTGGACCCACTCCAACAGGTCCATGTCCTTCTTAAGTTGGGGGCCCCAGAGCTGAACGCAGTACTCCAGGTGGGGTGTCATGAGAGTGGAGTAGAGGGGGAGAATCACCTCCCTCAACCTGCTGGTCACACTTCTTTGGATGCAGCCCAGGATACGGTTGGCTTTCTGGGCTACAAGCGTGCATTGCCGCGTCATGTTGAGCTTCTTGTCAACCAACACCCCAAGTCCTTCTCTGCAGGGCTGCTCTCAATCCACTCATCGCCCAGCCCGTATTTGTGCTTGGGATTGCCCTGACCCATGTGCAGGACCTTTTCTCACAGTCTTGACACCTTCTAGTAAATTAGTCACTTGTCGAGGAAAATGACAGCTATATAGCAATAGAAAAGCTTGTAAAGCTCTTCATTTACTGTTAGAAATGTCTGTGTCACTGTCAAGCAACAGTAACATCCCCACCCTGTTTTTTACTCTCGAGTACCCTGTCTCAGGGGCTTTTTGCAAATCATGCCTTAATGAAGTTTAAATAACAACTATATTTTTTAGTTCTAAATGCCACTTTTCTCTTACCTGCATGATTGTTTTCTGAATAAGTTAGTCCACTGAAGCTGATATACAAAATGAAAGGCTATTGTAATTAGTGTAATATCATTCCAAGATAAAGCCATGAAACTGCAGCTTCAGACAGCTGTCATCTCTTTGGCTATTCTGCTTATTATTCACAGACAACTTCTGGTATCTTCTGCATGTTACATAGTATGTTTATGTGCAATTTCAGTGAAAACACTCATGGAACAAGATCTGTAAGTATCTATCTCAGAATCTAGCCTAGAGAAAGAATGCAGCTTGAAAGTCATTTCAGACTTAATTTTCCTGCAGCACAGTCATCATTCTAAATAGGTACACATAAATATACGCTTGCTTTCTTTAGGAATAATTTATATGAATTCAATGTCCTTATATAATTGGCTAGATACGACAGTCGCTGAAAACTGAAATCCTCTTATTTAGATGACAGTCAGGATATGGACAGCAAAAGAAAAATAATTCTAAAAATGGATGCTCTAAGGAATAGCAAGACTGATTACCTTCAGTGTAAAAAGGGTAATTGCTGTTACATGGTAAAAAAGAAATTGGGCAAATTCATATAAATACTCTTTGGAGAATAAGCACTTACTGGCTAAAGACGCTGACACATTATGCAAGCCAATTACTGTGTGGAGTGGTGGTGATACCTCGAATGCAAACTCATTTGTAGGATGCCTAAATATTGCAGGAAAGCATCTATCTATAACACCTGGCGTTCTTCCACTGATGGCATGGATTCCCCTGAAAAGATCCACAGACTCACAGAATCATACAATATAATTTAGAACAGAAGGGACCTCTGAAGGTCCAATGCCTGCTCCAAGCGGGACTGACCTCAAAGTTAGAAAAGGCTGCTCAAGACTATTCAATTGAGTTTTCAGTATCTCCAAGGAATGTACAGTCTCTCCAGGCAATTTGGGAATTTCCCTCACTACAGTCTATGTCTGTTACCTTCTGTTACTTCACTGTGCACCTCTGGGAAGAGTGTGGCTCCATCTTCTCTGTGGACCCCACTCCCATTAGACACTTCTCAGGCTGAACAGGCCAAAATCCCCAGCCTCACCTCACATATTATTTCAAAAATATCTCCAAAGACCCCCTTCGTGGTGAAGAATGAGAGGATCAGAAGTCCTCCAGTATTGAGGTCTACAAGCTGAAGAGACCCTGGAAAGCATGTAAGCAAATGCCACCCTTGGCTAAATGGCTATTCCCTGACAATATGGTGACACAGCACCTCTTCACACATGCTAGCTGCTCTTGAAGAGTTCAAGTAGCAGGAAGGTGTGGTATTAACAGCAGCTTTGTGAAAGTTTCCCTCATTAAACACTTCTACAGATAAGACACAGGATCGCTGAAAATCCAGCAGCTTGTTTTCCAGAAGCAATATGGTCAGAGTTAGCAGCTTTGTTTCAGCTGCCTTCTCCATGGAGATCGCTCCCCTTGTTCGTAGGAAATATCTTGAAAATCTTCTTCCATGGTTTTCATCTGAGAATTCATTTTCCTGAAACCCCACTCATCCTCAGTAATACCTAGCAGATTGGTTCTATCACTACATGTAATTATGAAAACCAAAGCTGTTACAAAACCCACAGTTAATTACAAAAAGTGATCGTGACACTGAAACAAATTTTGCTTAAGCCCACCACACTATGAGATTCCTTTTCCATGATTACCCCAGAACATAGCCTATGTAATTGTTGGAGGACTCTCCACAGAGTAAAAATAAGCGTGGTACTCTTCTATTATACTTCAAATTCTGTCAGAGTAAGATTAATATAAAGTTCATGCACCTACTGTAGCATAAAGATTACCATCTCTTCACACAGAGATTGAGGAATACATTTTAGGATGTCTCAATTTACAGAGCTCTCTTTGAAAACCTTGTGGAAAGGCTTGTGGTCAAAACCTAGTTAAAGATATTTACTCCTTTGAGCTTTAGTTTAAAACACATTTCTTCTTTCAGGTACAGCCCACATACTGTCAGGGCTTTTCTTTCTTTTCCTTTGTTTCCAGATTATATAAGAAATTCACTTCATCTTTAAAGAATAGTTTCTACCCTTGTGAAGGAGTAAATTATTATGTCAAGTTTTTTCAGTTAGCATACCTGTATAGCAATTTTTTTTCAATAAAAATAACCTTTTGTTAAAGGTTTCATTAGATTTCCCAGGAGACTGATAACAGCCAAATCTTCAGCCATCTGCAGGAACCACTACAGACTCTGATCACATACTCTGAACAGCGAAATTCTTCTCAACACTTTTGTTCAGACAATGGAATCACTGTATTTTCCAAGCACTTAATCATGCCAAGGGCAGGAGCCCAAAGCCTTTACCCACGCTGAACTTCTCCAATAGTCTTAATGAAAATCAGGCCTCAGGCAAATTATTAGTAAAATTTAAAATCATGAGGAAACGATCCTTTCTAATTTTAGCATCAAGAATGGATTACTTCATAGAAGCCTATAGATAGATAGTTCGTTTAAAGTCCACATGCTTCATCTTTAGGCAGAAGAGCAGGTTACTGTAAAGATACTTGAATACCAAGCATAAATCCCCTCCTATACTCCAAGCATACTCTCATGTTACTGGTACTTTAACGTCCAGCACAGCAGCAAAACTACAATGGGTCCACTTCCCAAAACATTTTAAGTGCTTCAGTCACTTAGTTTCCAATGTAGCTACTGTAAAAGAGTAAGGACCCTACTTAAATGCCCCACTCCAACACCTTAAATATTTGGAGGCCGCATGGAGAAAGCTTACCTCTTGACTGCAAACCGTGTCCACACGCCTCATTATGTCCCGGCACACCCTGTCTCACTGAATCTGGCACCAGCACACAGTGACTCCAGCGGTGGGTCTTCCACCTGCAAGAGGAAAAGGTTAACAATTAAGTGGTTGAAACGAGAAAACAGTTAACAGGTCCAGGCAAAAACTTCAGTTACAAATGATGATACACTGTGGTGACTTAAGGAAAAATAGAGTCAAAAAGCTGTAATTACTCCTGAAATAAGCACTGTGAACTTAAATTCAGATGTAAGGTTCACCTTCTAGAAAGCCACATCATCCTCCAACAATGTTTCCCTTTCTCATTTTTGTAGGGCATAGTTTCAAACTTACATAAAATACACAGGAAACTTCTTCAGTGGGCTCTGAAATTAGGCTCTCCTCCTGCAAGCCTGTTCTCATACAACCGATGCTGTTCCAAATCTGCTTTCTATGCTAGGATGTGTGCCAGTCAAGAACACAAGAAAGCAGCTTTCCATAGCACTATGCGGCACAGAGCCAGGCACAGCTGAGCAATGTGACTCCTGCTTTGGTACCACCTTCATCTCCCTGCTCTGCTCTGAGACCATGTCCTACAGGATGCACGGGCTGGAGATTTATATGCAAAGATACAATGCTTTTCTATTTACTGATATTGTATAACAGATGTATCACAGAATTTTAATGAAGAGTGGTGAGTAATTGCCTTATTGTACTATTTGTCTAATCAGAATTTTTTTAAGTGCGCATTATTCACTGGAGTGAGAGCATCAGGGGAAAAGACAAGAATTTCTGCAATAAGTATACAATTATGATTAAGGCAGTTGAGTGCCTGTGGTCCCAAAATAGCTTATATTGATTTTTAGATACATTGAGGGCGGAGTTCCCAGTAATAACTTCCTTAAACACATTGAACCCTTAGGTTACCATTGCTAGGAGCTGTGTCTGTTGGTGCTTGTTCTGATGATGCCAGACCTACTGATACTCTAGTTTGAACTCTACTTCTATACAGTTTGCAAGGTTTATTACTTGTACATTGTTATTTGCTTGTAACTCTGCATTCTCCAGTTTTATGTCATTTTCTGGTAGAAATTGTGCAGGACGATTGCACAAGAGTCATTTCTGGAGCAGTGGACACCCACTAGCAAAAGGCTGATTCCCAGCTAACACTTTTTACCTGTACACTGGACAGACAGGAATATCTTCACATTCTCTTTCCTCATACAAGGTGTCCGGGCACGCCTGTCCCCCATTGGCAGCATCCTGAACGATAATCCTATACCGGGACTGCTTAACTGCTGTGGCATTGCCTGGAAAACAACAAAAAAATTGCCTTCTAGACACAGTTGGCACCCGAAGTTAGTTATCTAGCTGCCTTGCCTAAAAACATGCTTTGCCTTTTATTTATATTTTGAAATCATGAGCACTCTGGCACTACCCAAAGAAGGGAAAGAATGGTACATTGGATTAAAAGCTACCACTACTCGCTTTAAAATTACAAATAGTTCAGCAGAACAGCAGCTGGAAGGCTGATAAATCAACAGCTTAAGAGATGCATCAAAAAATGGCTTTTTAACAGAACATCAAATCAGACAAGAAAATAAGTATGAGCAAATATTTAAACACCTGAACAGGAGAAAAGAATAAAAACAAAAAAAACCCAAACAGTCATAATGGAAGGGTTTGTTTCTGAAAACATATTCTGGTGGTCTCAGACTGCTACCAGTAGCCCATCTTCATGGGTCTAGAAATACAGATGATAACTTCCTGATAGAAAAACCATTGCAACCAACAGAGACTAACTCTCTGCTTAACCTGAGTCGATGCAAGATCAATCCATCTAGAAACACAGTTCACAAAATCTACAGTACAGAATGCAGCATGAGAGACAAGGATAAGATTTATCTATATATCTCTATAACTAAACCAAACTCAATCCTTGGCTGTGTAAGCAGTAAGTACTAACTGAGAGCTGGTTTAACCACTGTGTATGGCATTAGTACTTCTTTGGGTACTGTATTCACGCTTCAAAAACAGATGCTAGAAAACTAAAAAAGGATCTCAGCAGAACTCTGTAAAGGATTCCAGACCAGGCAAACACCTTTTAGTAGTGGACTTCATCAAATTTTTCCAAGAGAGGAAAGCGGTGTATAAATTAGCCTGCTTATGAGTATTATTCTTCCAGCTCAAGATAAGGCTGAAGCTGCAGTAGCAAGATTACAGTGCATTAGAGTAGAAGGAAAACTTGGGAAAACTCACACCATGAACACAAAGTACAGGCACAGATCCAGTAAAAATGGTTGGCTCTAAAAATATCAAGTTATACAAGCCTTCACTTGCGCACATGCTACCACTGTGTGATCACCACAAAGGGACTTTGGACCTGGCAGGAGGTTGCTCAACCCAGCTGCTACCCTGAGGCAGGACAAGTGCATCCAGGGTGATCCCCCTCCTGCTTCTTTAACAGCCACTACCTGAGGCAGCTCTACAGCTTTCCACAGTCTCCTTTCAGATGCCTGATTCAGAGCTTGTAAAGTCTCACGGAGAGCCTTTTCTTAAAATCTAGCCCAAGTCATTGTTCCTGTAAATTAAGCTAAATCTTTTTTATCTTCTGTCCACTAGATGTAAAAAGAGTTTACCCCATCATCTGATGCATAACCTTTATCAAATTTCAAGGGCTTGTAATAACTCTAAGTCTTCCCATCTCTAAACTAAGCAAACCCAGTTCTTCATGGGTCCTATTCAATCACCTCTCTTTGCTCACTTTCTTACAGCACTGCGCCCAAGGAATCCCACCTGCAGCCTCATCAGTGCACGGTACAGTAACACCTTTGGTGTTTTACATACAACACGCCCATGAGTTTGACAAGCCCAATGTAAGTTTTAGCATTTCAGATTGTTGACTTTCATTCATTTTGTAGTCCATTGTATGTCCAGAGGTGCCTGAGACAGTACAGATGTCTACTTCCCAGTCTGTCTTTGTGCAATCAATTTTTCCTTCCCAAGTTACATTTTGAGGAATTTCTCCATTATTTCAATATCATTTAATATATTGTCTATTGTGTTTCCTACCTCTTTCAGCTCTGCACCATTCACTGATATTATGCAAGCACATGAGCTGTTCAGACAAATATCACACAGAACTGGGGCAAGAAGAATTTTTTGTAGGACTGCCCTTGGCTCATGTTCCAGTTTGATCATGAACAGTGGACATCTATCAGCCAACCAACTGGAAGCAGCTTTGCAGAGAAGGACATGGGACTCCTGATGGACAAGTAAACCATGAGGCAGCAATGTGCCCTTGCAGCAAAGAAGGGCCACAGCAACCTGGGCTGCGTTAGGAAGAGCATCACCAGCAGGTCCGAGGGAGGTGACCCTTTCCTCTCTACTCAGCACTGGTGAGACAACTGGGTGTCGTGTCCAGTTCTAGGCTCCCCAGGAGAAAAAGGACGTGGGCACACTGGAGTGAGTCCAGTGAACGGACACAAAGACTATTTAGGGACTGAAGTATCTGACACACAGGAAGAGATCAGGAAAGCTGGGGCTCTCCAGCCTGGAGAGGAGAAGGCTCACGGGATCTTATCAATGTGTATCAATACCTGACGGCAGGCAGCAAAGGAGACAGAGACGGACTCTTTTCATAGTGATATCCACTGAGATTTTTCAAGTGGCTGAATACCCATTTAACGGTGATTTAATTCAAGTCACTGTTCCTCAGCTTCCTGATAGAAGTTTAATGTGTCAAAAATCTACCACTTCCTTTAATTAGAGCAGCTATGCTGTCAAAAAAAAAGGAGATTAAATTTATTGGGCATGATTTGCTCTCAATAAATCCATACTGGCCAGTTTATTAGAATCCGATTTTTGAAATGTTTATATCTTGAGTAATAACTTCTTGTTGTGTTTTTTCTACATAACGAAGTTAGGATGAGTAATCTACAATTTCCTTGACCTTTCTTTTTTTCAGGGTGGGGGTGGTGTTGGTTGATTGGTTAGTTTGGTTTGTCTTGGTATTACCGAGTTTTAGTTAGTTCCTTAGGACGTAGCAATTTCTCACCCAGAAGATCGTCACTAGATGCTCTGGCATTACTTTATTACTTCTTTCTCTGTTCACACAGCCCTACTGACATGGGAACATCTAATATATGGAAATACTTATTCTTTAGTCCATTCATCTCCTGGCTGCAGACAGGAAACAATGGTAGCAATTGCACATTCCCCGTGTTGTGTTTCCCCTGTTTCTCAGAAAGTAACGGACATATATTTCATGCATTTTCCCCTTATTTTTAATCCCTTTATGTAATTCTTGTTATCTAATATCCTCTTATAGCTTAATTTGCATTCTCAATTTCTTGTTCCTAATTTTTGTGAAACAATTTGACAATCAAAAAGGAAACAAGATTCTGAACAACTCTGATGATGAGAAAAGATTAAAAAAAGGGCTTCTCTAGCTGTGTTTGATGTTTTCTCTTCATGGTTTGAAGCATGAACATGCAGGTCATATACAGACCCACACATGCCTTGTTCCCCTGTGCTACTGGCTTGCCATTATAGTCATTTCAGGATAGAAAGTAGAGTCCAGTAGGGCTTCAGCCCTTTGTGCAGTCTTTCTTGGTAGCTTCCAGGTCTTCTACACTCCTGTCTGCACAGAACACATTCCCAAGAGGTGTAGCTACCAATTCCCTCAGTTTGTTGAAGTCTGCCTTTTTTTAAAATGTCTTGCCATCCTTCCTTTCTCCTAAGAATCATGAACTCTATCACTTTGTGATGATTTTCATTCAAATTATCTACCACCATTAGAATCTTAGCCATTTCCTTCCTATTAATCAGCACCAAATCTAAATGAGCTTCCCACAGTAATTTTCTCCACCTCAAGAAACTAAATTATCCTCAACATTTATTGCACATTACTCAAACCCCATTTTCAAAATTGAATTTCCTCATTGGCTTTTCTACAGCATTCCTTACAAATGTTAATGAACGTAATTTTTATATCTCATTTAAAATTGTTACAGCCTGATTTTCCAGAGAATTAGCATTATGTAGGACTGTCCTTTTAAAGCCGAACTTCAGCTGATTTCAAGCATGGCTATGACTGCTTGCCCTCCTGAAAACATCAAGCCTCAGGATCTCAAGACCATCTTAACTTCTATGTCCTGGACTTTGCAACTCAGGTAATGCTGTTTGAGAATTTCGGGGGTGCATTACCTCTGCTTCCACTCCCACCTCGCTGTCCCACCAGCCACCAGTCTCCTCCTTACACACAGAGCCATATGACTCCTTCTGTCAATCCACTCTTCTCATTCCTCCCTTGCTCTTGCATCTTTCCTGCCTCTGCGTTTGACCCCCAGGGCTTCCCTGGTACCCTGCCCAGGGCTCAGAAAGGTGCATCACCATTGTCAGGCGAGGGACAAAATCCTTGTTCGCTACCGTAAAGTGTGCTATATCTGCTCCAGCTTCTACAGGAAACATTCAGCTTCATACTCTTTGCTCCTGACCAGATGGAAAGGCAGAGTCTGGTCAACACAAGACTCTGAGCACACAAACAATAAGGACAGACTCTCCAAGATTTTAGTCACCAAAATCAGAGCTGTCTCCAGTATTTTTGTGCAGATAAGAGTTTTGAGGGGGTAAGTCTTTAACTTTGACCACCTCTGGTTTGTCTATGAGACCTGGAAGTGGCAGATCCTTGACAGAAACTGGCTGACACAAGGTAGAAGTCATCAGAATTTCTTATTGTAGCACAACATGCATTTTATCCACTTTTACCCCACCTCGTTTCCAACCTGATTTAAGGCATGGGGAAGTAAACAGGACAGTTACTACCTAACATTTCATGTAAGCTTGTTTAGAGAAAGTGAAATTTCTAACCTTCCCCCTGGACAACCAATGCCCAGAAGAGGAGAGGTACATATAGGTACCATCTATTTTCAGGAGGAAGATGAAAAATACTATTTATTGTCAGGTGTTTGCTTTTTTAATCTTCCCGGTTTAAATCTACGCTGACAGACCAGAGAGCACGTGACCCATGGTGAAAGTAGTTACCTCCCCAGGACACCTTCACCACCCATTATGGAGGTGACAGAGGAAAATATACATGCTGCTCACTCAAACCACTTCATATTCTGAAACCTCCATATTGATTCTTTGATTCTTGTTTCGATTCATCCTCAAAGACCCATTAAAGCAGATATATTATAGAAGACTGCAGTAGATAGTTGTCACCTTTAAGTACCTGAAATGGCAGAGAATCAATAACTTGCAACAACCTCCCTGTTCCTGCCTCACCAACAGGTGTTTTGATTCAATTGCACTTCTTTTGTGAATTATGTTGTCCGTCCATCTGTTATTGCCCTAAGTTCGCCACTGTCTACACTTCTGAGGTATGAGATAATCCTTCGCCAGAAGACAGCTGGTTGTCTGATGACATTTAAATGTAGGGAAAATGTCAGCTTTTTTATTGTTAGATAGTAAAGTTGGATGCATTTTCTCAGATAAACTACAAACGGCTTAACTGGTAAAGTTCTGTGTAAAGCTGATTTAGTGATTGCATGTTTGTCTAAGCTCTGATCTTATGCCAGTACACATTTAATTTTAAATCTGCCAGGCAATACCTGTTGCTTGATCTGCTTGGTAATTCACCATCTGTATATTGTTTTCATTAAATACAACTTTTCTATAAAAAAACCAAAACCCCTAACAATTCACATATGTATAGTGGTTTTGAAATTACATTATCATGCTGAGGTTTTAATTGTGCAATGCAAATTAAAAAAAAAAATCTTGCAATGCAGCCATATCAATAACAGATTTAGCAAAAAGCAAACTCCCCCATCTAAGAAGTTTTAATTTAGAATTATATTAAAATGATAACACTGCCAAGGTGGTTAAATAATTAATTTCTTCTCATTTTAATTGTAGACTATTATTTAATAAACAAAGTAATTTACCAGGTAATTTATTCTATTTCTTCATAGGCAGCTCATTTAAAGTCTAAAAATAAATTGCTAATTAAAACAGGATTCACTGTTTTAGAAAGCAACTCGTTTTCCTATAAAATCTAACAAGGACTATGCTATAGCATCCACTGAGAATCTTTGAAGGGCAAGGAAGCCACCAACAATAATGAAATATTCTGATAATTGAGAAGGCTTTCATCTGAACAATTAATGAAACACACAAATTTGTCACAAAAACCAACACTAGATCATTATAAAGAAACTTTGCTAAACACTTAGTGTCCAAAAGCTAACCAACTAGAGCAAAGAAATGTATGGTCCTTGAAAAACCACGAAGCACAGGAGTTATTTGCAAAACCTTGTACATACATCTAGGCTGGTTGAGAGAAATAAATTTCATATAATGTAACAATTCCATGTGTAGCCATACAACATTGGGACCTTGGACTTCTGACTTCGAAGGCAGAAGCCCAGAAGGAATTTATTCCAGGTAAAGAGAACTTACATCTCCAAATCTGCTCAAGAGGATCCCACCCCTCAACAATATCAGTGTCAACAACACTGCAAGTCCAAAAGTCATTCAGATGAATGCCCTAAAAATTATTAGACTGACAAGAACTACAACTACCGCATGTTTCCAGGCCAATTCTCTAATTTTTCCCCAAATTTTGACCTCTTCTTAAAGGCTTACCAGGCTGACATGCTGTTGGGCAGCGAGTCCACTCACTGAAAGGCGTAACAATGCAGTCTTTCTTGCAGAGGAGGAGACATGGCCGCACAGTCTCAGGTCTGATGGACTCTGGACATCTATCAATCCAAACACAGAGATAAAATATAATAAAAAATTAAAACTATGGGGAAATGTTTTACTCTTAAGACTCTCACAGGGCTGTAAGGGTACTGCCGTAAAAAAGATATCACTCCTGCTCACAGCAAGCCTCATTTTTCTTCTCCTTTTCACTCATGTAACCCTACTGAATTTAGTACACTTCAAAGATTAAAAAAAATAATAATAATAACAAAAAAAAAAAGTGCAACTTGGCTTGATGACTACAGGCTAAATGTAACTCTGCCTATGACGCCTAAAATACAAAGCTCACTGAAACAAAACAGATATATTTATTACTGAAGAAAGCGAGTAGTTATGTTTATAAAGTAGTCCTGTTTTAACACAACATGCAACAGCCTTCAAACCACTTGCAACTGTGTTTAAGGACTGATGTGATATTCTTCATTTTCAAACCCTAGGAAACACAAAAATAGCTTAAAGTGATCTTTGATTGAGGCCTCAATTGTTATTTTAAAAGTTGTACAACATAATATAGTAAGAAGAGCTCTGTGATTATTTTTTTAATTCATTTTTAACTCCTAAATGAAAAATATGTCATGCATATTCTAATAAAAGTTTCAGAGACAATTAGTATATAAAAACTTGAAGGGTGGAAAAGGGACAATTTTCTGGGATCAGGCAGATCTTGCATTTCAAGTGGGGGAACAGAAAGGGAATTACTCTTTTTTAATTTTTATTTAATTTCTAGTAGAAAGATCACTCAAAAATACTTAGTAATGCATGCAACCCAAAACGATCCCATTTGAAAGAGGAATATGCCACTAACCCCTACTAGGAAAGAAAATAAACCTTAAAGTCATGATTCTATTATTGAGAAAGTAATAAGATACTTAGAGGTTTAATTTAAAAGAAAATAAATACAAAGAGATGTGTCTTCTCATTACGCATGATTATCCTAGTGGGCAGATTTCTGTTATCTAACAGAAGATGTTGTAATATTTTTCTGCAAAAATTTTAGTTTTATTTGGCTTTCCATGCCTTGCACCTTCTTTGGATATGGTGTAATTTTTCTTCATGAAATCAGGAAAAAATGCAGAATAAAAAAAAAATACAGTATGCCAACACACAGAAATTATTTATTTACATAACATATCCCATTTCTGAAGCCATATTAATGGTAGACTGTCACCACAGCAGTTCTAAACCCAACGTGGGTTTTCATCAACTCAAAACATAAAATATAACATAGCCACAGCTGGTGCCCACAGCGACGAGGGCTGCCCTCCACTCCAGCACCAGACCGGTCCAGACCCTCCTGGGCAGTAACGAGGTAGTATTTAATTCTGAAACACGAAGGGTTTATTCCTTCACTTAGACCCATCTTCCTAAAGACTTCTAGAGGTCTAAGGTTTTTATTTTTAAGATAATTATCACCATAAGAACAACACACAGCACAGTAGCAAAAGAAACAATTTCAGTAAGCAGCTCTTCTAAGGATTCGGCAGTGCATTTTGATCCAGCCACTTCTATTACACGACAAATGCCATGGCACTGAAGCTACCACACCAAAGCCAAGGAGAGACCCTTGCTGAAGTCCCGAGTACAGAAATCTCTTCTTTTGGCAGGATTTTCCACCACTGAAACTCTGTTTTCCCTTCACGTACTTCACTTAAGTATTTACTTACCTCCTTCGGTTCCATTTCCCCTTACACCATCTCAAAAGTGGAGGGGGCAAACAACTATTTTAGACATTATATAGCTCTATAAGCAATTTATTTAATTAGGTAAAGTTACAGCATATCAATGGATTCTAGATAAAAATAAATATTAGATTTCTTTCCTTTTATTTAATTAATTTCATTAACCTCAAGAATTTTAATTAACTTTACTGAAATCAACACAGTCTGCTTATACGAACAGGATTGTTTTGAGAGCTACAATAAGAAATGAAACTCGGTTGTAAGTCTCTAGACTCATTAACAGTGCAAAAAATAATTAGCAATGTCTTGATTTTTTGATATTAGGGAAAACATCTGTGCTACTTATTTTCTTCATTTAGTAAAGCAAAGCAAAATTCAGAATATTTGTACTGCAGAATACATAATTCTGTCATGTTGGTATGCCATTATAGAAGCTATATAAATCAACTGAACGATATAGATCACACATATGGTTCTGCCTTATTGTGGTGTAAATATAATGCAAACTCTATTTACTTTTTCTATTCCATTACAGCATTGTTAATAATGTATTGATGAACGTTATATTCAGATATACTTTATATTTTCCTCACACCTGTCCTTCAGGAAAAATATTTGCAGAAAACTGTAAATTAGAATAACAGAGGAGCTACAGCAAAAAATCTACACCACTAAAAACAAGCATTTTGCTTGGATTTACACAGAAAATCAAAAATGGGCTAGCTATTTATTTTTGTTACATTAGTATCCCTTTCTTAGTAGTGATGGAGTAGTAGCCGGAGAATTACTCCTGAAATGAAATTATTTTCAACACTCCAGATTCCATACACTAGCTGAAAACACCTTCATATGTCAGGTACTGTAGCTACAAATAATCACTAATAACCTTTTTTTAAATACCTTTTAGGTGTGACCTGGCCAGAACTGCTCTTCATGCAGAAGACTTTCCTTGTCTGTATGCCCACCCCACAAGTGGCTTCTCCGCTCCAATTAATGGTTGCATTGAGCGCAGTTACCAGAGCGTCTTCGGAGCAAGAGCTCCAGGGAGAAGTTTCCCAGAAGAAATGCACGCACGGGTGATCGTTACAGGCACGGTGCTCCTGCAGGGCTCGGTCAGGGGGACAGGCTTTTCCACCTGAAAAGAGTCAAGAGAACACCATGCATCATCTTATGGCATCTGGCAAAAGAAAACATGGCAAAATAAATAAAAATGTTAGGTTTGCTTAATATCTTCTTTTTTTCCTCATTAAAAAAAATAAATAAATAAAGCTTAAATAAAGCTGTTGACCTTTATGGCTGCAATAACAACCTTCTAAAATATTGTTTCCCCATTAAACTAGCCTTGCATAAAATTGTATTCCAACGCATAATGGAAACAGAAATAGGCAAAGTATATTTCTGAGTTACCTTATTGATACTCCTACACACAGCCAAGTTAATTCCATTTAAATGCCAGTATCACTCAGCAAACATGCAATTAGGTTTAAAGACAAATTAAGCATTATTTTTATGTTCATTCTCCTTGCTAATTTCCCAAGGAGGAACATCTCTTTCTAATATTTGGACTCTATTCACGCGTTGCCTTAAAGAGCTGTAGAGGGTGCTGAACCGTACAGATGGAGGAATGTATCAAATGATACCCACATCTGCAAAGCAAGGAGGAGAAATCTTGAAAGTAGGTTTTGAGTATGAAGCCGTTACTTTTCTGAAGCAGCATTCTTCAAATTGCTGTCCAAAGATTTTGCTAAGCTCCTGCACTTTGTCAACAACTGGTAATAAATCCACAAAGTACAGGAGTTTGAACAGCCTCCCCAGAAGCTTTAACACTCTAGCCAGCAGCCTGACTTTATCCCATAAAAGCAGCAGACATTCGTAGCTCAAAAGCTAAGGAGTAATGCAATGAAATTTAACAGTAAGCATTGTCATTTTAGGAAGAAAGAAGTAAAAATTACTAAAATCAAAATCATTCTCTTCCAGGAGAGAGAATCTGGCAACTTGTGACATGGCCAAAGTGCTGCAGGTTTTGAAAAAGAACTGAAAGAACTGAACTGTTGGGGCCAGATACCACAAGGTTCAGAGCACCTTTATGCTCTACTAAAATCAACAGGAGATGAAGGTATATTGCTCCTTGAAGGGATGCTTATCACCTTGCAGGACTAAGGCTTCTAAAATAAGGTATGACCCCAAATGGCCAGAATGAATAGCACTGAGAACAGAAAGAGAGAGAGAAAGAAATTTCTTAGCACACTGATTTGGATAATCATGTCACATTACCATTTGTCTTTTCATGAAAATGGACTGTTCCACATAGTGTTCAGTCTCAGAAATGTTTAGTATGATGATGGAGTAGAAAATACCCCAGGTAACTTATTTCCTGAAGATTTTGACTTGGCAGGAAAAATGCAGACCAGTTATTGCTGTTGCATGTTTGAGCACATGTAAAAAAACCCAATGTAGCAAGCAAATGGCAAAATGTCTGGTCCATTAGGAAAAAATAAAAAGAAAATATCTAACTCAAATTTTGAGCTTCCCAAGCAAAAATTAAGGTGGTTTTTTTTCAAGAATACCCATGGTAAGGAAGCTCTCCTAAACCAGGGAGAGTAATCATGAGGCAGTTTTAACTTAAGATAATAAGAAATACCACATGGTCCATCCAACCTAGCAGTCTGCCTGCAAAACCACAAGCAGGAGATGCTGTTTATAAAAAGCACAAGAGCCTAGCCACTTTCTGCAGTTCATTGGCAACTTCTGTACAAGGAAAGCAGGACAGCACGCTACTTCCTAGCCATTCTAGTAGCCATTTACAGACTTTTTATGGACCTGATGTTCATCAGTTGCTCTAATCCATTTTAAACCTCCTGAGACTGCCTGCCTCTGCAATCTCCTCGTGTATGAAGTTTCAGAAGTTTCCTGTGTAAAGAAATATCTTTTAAAACCTAATTTAAACCAAGCCCCTCTAGTTTCATCAACAGCCTCCTGGTTATCATATGCTGGGATCTGGTGAACAGCTTGGAGAAAACAACCCAAGGATCATTTTGAACTGGTCAGCCTGTGAGATGGCCTCCAGAAGTCCTCAGACAGCAGAGCCACTGCTAACATTGCCTTAGTTGACAGAGGACAAATGAAATGTCACTTGCAAAGATACCAGAGCTCTGTAGAAGCTGGTGGCTCAGCTGTGAGCTGGATATGAAAGAGTCAGAGAAAGCAGGTAACATAACGTTGCCTTAGTATTGTAGCGATAACAGTATTAAATCCTCTTCCACTCTCCACAAATTCAAACCAATCGCTATTTATCTGTATGCAGATGTATGACTCTGCATAGCAAACCATTATACTCATTGCTAAAGATGTGCATAAAAAGTTGGGGCGTTTGATTTTAATAGTTAATTATTCCTTCCCGAGAAACTTAAAGTATTCAATTCAAAGCACGTCATTTTTAGTTTAGTGTGTTTCAGGTTGAGATGACTGAGCTTATGTACTTCCAGAATTCACTTCTCCAACACTTCACTTTCATAAATCCATGTTTATCTATTATTTGCATTTCGTTACTTCTATGGAAAATATGAAACCTTGTTTTTCATTTTAATTATTCTCTAGCTCATAGACTTTTTAGTAGTAGTTATTCTCATTAAATCAACAATTATATAGCAGTTTTCATCCTGAAGGGTCCCAATTTTCTTTGCAAGTGCTTCTACAGATGTTTATGTGAATACAGACCATTCACACGAGTAAGGGTTTGCAAGATCAAGTCCTTACATTGCCCCAGAAACAGTGGGTGGCTTTAATGATAATTTACAAAATAGCACTTAACAGAGCTTGTCCTAGACTAGATTTGCATCTAAAAGTGTTGTGCTGCTGCATTACTGCACATAGTGCTGACAACAGTATTTTTGTCATGTCAACAAGGCTTTAGTCTTTTAGACCTATTCACATTTTATGAATTTTTATGCATTTGACGTGATACCTTTCAAATCCTGTGTGATAAATCAACACATAAATTAATTACCATGTGTAACTGTAGTTAGAAGACTACACTTCTAATACCAAACAGTTTATGTAAATAATTGTATCACTGATGTTGACATGTAAAAATCCAGATACATGATGTGTCCATGAAGATCCAGAGGAAATTATATCTATTCATCAAGAGTTATTTACCTAGTAGAGTAGAAAAACAAGGAGGTCAATACATTCTAGGTCTGTATTAAAAAAATAAACAGGACCTTTTCTAGTTCCTCATTTTTCACAGCTCACTGTTCTTTTCTAAATAGGTACTAATATGTTCCTATATAAAGACACTTGCATGATGAGATTGTGTCATGCAGCAATTTCATTAGTATACGATGTAGCTCTCCTGAAGTAAATTCACACCCAGACTGGCCTTCAATAGACAATAATTCATAGGCTGAAATAAATAATTTTGAACTGTGACAGAATTTCTCTGACACATGCATTAACTTGAGCCCATAAAGATCTTTTAGTCGCTAGGCATGAAGCACAGAGAAGTATTAAGTATTATTCCTCATTGCTACAGAATTAGGTTTAGCTCTGATCTAAACACAGTTTGGCTGAGCAATGCAAGTCAAATCATTAAACAAACAAACAAACAAACAGTGAATAATCCAAAAATGTTTACCACTCACCCTCAGCTGGAAGGGCCAAGATGAACCTACTCCTGCTTTGACTGCCTTCAGCATTTTTACTGGAGCATGAGTGGGAACACGGGGACCACAGGGACCACTCGCTGATGACACAGTCTGTTGCACAAGGGATTTCACAAGCCACAACTTCAGGACGGGGAAGTTCTGAGCAGAGGTGATGTGGTACTTCTTCACCTGGAGTAAACGAAACAAGACAGACATGGAGGAAGGCTCAGCTTAGTTCAATAACCACGGTCTGCATCAAACAGACTAACTTTATGTCAAACGTCCGCCTGCCCATGGAAGAACATACTACAAAGAGCACATGGTTAGGCTTCAGGCTTGAAAGTGTAATACATGAACAACTAACTTAGGCATTTCTTCAGAAAAGCAAAAAAGAAAAAAATGTGTTTCAAGTTTTGTGTGTGACATCTTGGCTGCAGTCCACTTTATAAACCTGGCAAGTTCAAGGAATGAGATAATTCAATCAACAGAAAGCTGTAGTATCAATTATCAACAGAACTGATGATAACTGCCCCATATTTTCCAGCAATCTCCACCTACAGAGCCTATTTTCCACAATACAAATTGCGCAGGTCCCCACAGAAGGCAGTTTTCTTTGGCCTATAGGCCAGAAAAGTGTCCAATAGATGCTTTGGTCTTTCTCCTGCAACCTCACCAGAATGAACCACTTTTATTTCTGACTCTGCTTCTCACCCAAAAACTAGGAGATCCAAAACTATGGATCTGTTGGACCATCCCCATCCGAGGGAGAAATACTTTCTGGAGATAAACCAAGGGACCTAGACCAAAGCATACCTCCTCGTGAGAAGCATCTTTCCAAAACCCCTTTCAACAAGAAGGTAGTACATTGGGGACTATTGGGGAAAAAGCTACCAACCAAAAGAACCACTGGCAGAATGAGCAGCAAAACAGAGCACACAAGGGATGTCATGTGGAGTCCAACACAAAGAACTATTGTTTTTAAAAAGCAAAATAAAATATAATGTTATTTTTAAAATAACAAAGGAAATGTCCAGCAAGCTTAGCAATTACATAGAATTTATGAGGACATCATAATTCATAAAAATTCATATAACGTAACTCTTAGTACTGAATTACACCTAATGTCTTACAAATATAATGTCAGTGATGAACAGACATGACTGACTTTGTTACACTGTTCCATTGTTTAGTGTTTCTGGACCCTCATGAATTTTCAGCTACATATCTGAAATTTCTGGAAGCTCAAATCTACCTGTTCATAAACAACAAGCTCACACTGAACGTTACCTCCTCTTTTGCCCTTTTAATAGTTACAAAGCTCTCCTTCGAGGTTTCTTTAATTATGAACCTAGGAAAAAACATAATAACTATCCAGTCTCAATTATACGTAGGGAAAAAAAATATTAAAATTTATAATGGCAACAACTAGCTCTTTCACCTCACGCTACAGGAACAGGCTCTGTAACAAGGCAGCCCAGGATGCAATTATAACTAGGAAAGTAGAAAACTACACTGCTTTTGCAAGGCAACATATATACAAGTGAGTAAATAAGAGAGGCAGGCTGCTAGTGAGAGTGCATAAAGCTGTCAATAGCACAGTGGTATTATCTGCAGTTGCATCCCCAAACGAAGACAGGCTCATCGCCCTCGAGGCACAAATAAAACTTTTCAAGCATATTATGAGAAGTAACGGAGAGTCTAGCAGGCAATCAGACTGCAAGATATGTTTAAAAATACTTTATTTTTGTACTCCCTTTCCCTTGCACATACCTATGCTCATCAAGAAAGGCTCTATATGACCAGTCTTTGCACTATTTTAAGGCTACTCAGTAAGAAAATGGAGACCAACACCCTCCCTACAGACAGCCCCCATCCTTTGATACTGCGTTTGGCACTGCTGCAAACCAAGCTTAATCCATCATTCGCTTCAACTAGCCCCTTATCACCACCGCTGCTTTGGATGCTCGCATAATGCTGAGAACTATCTTTAGAGAACAACAATGTAAAAACACAAAATAAATCTGATAGCCTTATTCCAGCTGCCTTCCCAAGTCATTTTAGCATCAAAATCCCTGCTAATATTTTGACAGCCTGTCTGTACGGCGGCAGATATCACGAGGGCATCCTGGGCGGGTGTGATTTTAGAAGTCAATGGTACAGTAGCATCAAGAGATTATATGCTTTGGTGAAGTAGGGCAAAACACCTGTCCTCCTCTCCCATCACTGACACTTACCGGGAAGCATACAAACAGTCAGTGACAGGCTTCTGAACGAGAAGGGATGAGATGGGACACTGGCCCTGCAAGTATGCCCCCAGCCCCTCCAGCCATGCAAGAGATTATCTTCATTATATACATACTTCATGGCAAGGGAGTGCCATGAAGTTCATCAAATTCTGGATTTAGCCCAATTTTTCCACCAATCAGATTGTGCTAGAGATGAAAGCATCCCAGAAAATCCTGTTTGTTGAAAGCCAGGAGAGCCTTTCCACTCATTCTATCTGACTTTATGAAGTCCAAGCCACTCCACTCAGAAGATGGTTTAAAACACTTGGGTCTCCTTTGGAGTGGCTTCCTCCACCCATGAGCCCACGTGCCACAGATTTTTTGAGCGACCACCCTGTGGGGAAGGGAGACAAAGGAGCAAAATGCACTTTCCACTTCTTCCCTCCATGATTTCTTTTCACGCTGGATTTACAGCAGGTGACAGCAACAGTAACACTGCAGAGGCTGCAATTCATGGTTCCTCAGCAAAGAAAGGAAGCTTTGAGTTTTGTTATAAAGAGTTTACCACCCGGTGCATGAAGGTACAATTCAACATTCACTTTGATTTACTTTATAGCTCTATTCGCTGTGTTCAGGTTTAATTACTGGCTTGTATTACTGCAGAAGGGGAATGTTCTTCTGTACCAACCGCCTGGCAGAGAATTCTCAGAAAACTACCGTATACTACAAAGGGAAGAAATAATCTTTCATTTTCCATGAACAATACTACTACAGGATACATCTGAAGTGTGCTTTATGCATTGTCACAGATTTACAGGGAATATTAAATTCTCCAGAGCTTCCAAATTGTCTACCCAGTCAGTACCTTGAAGGTGTAATTCTATCTCAGATATTCTGAATAATCTTTCTAGATCTTTCTATAATCTTTACATACACGAGTCTATGGGGCTGGATGGGATCCACCCAAGGGTACTGAGGAAGGTGGTGGAAATGTTCACCAAGCCACCTTCCATCATTTACCAGCAGTCCTGGCTAACCAGGGAGGTCCCTGTTGACTGGAACTTAGCAAATGTGACGCCCATCTACAAGAAGGGCCAGAAGGAGGATCCAGGGAACTACAGGCCTGTCTGTTTGACCTTGGTGCCGGGGAAGGTTATGGAGCAGATCATCTTGAGTGCCATCACGTGGCACGTAGAGGACAACCAGGTGATCAGGCCCAGTCAGCATGGGTTCATGAAAGGCAGGTCCTGCTTGACCGACCTGATCTCCTTCTGTGACAAGGTGACCCGCTTAGCAGATGAGGGAAAGGCTGTGGGTGTTGTCTACCTCGACTTTAGTAAAACCTCTGACACCATTTCCCACAGCTTTCTCCTGGAGAAACTGACTGCTCATGGCTTGGATGGGTGTAGTCTTTGCTGGGTAACAAACTGTCTGGATGGCCAGGCCCAAAGAGTTGTGGTGAATGGAGTTAAATCCAGCTGGCGGTCGGTCACAAGTGGTGTTCCCCAGGGGTCAGTACTGGGGCCAGTTCTGTTCAGTATCTTTATCAATGATCTGGACAAGTGGATTGAGGGGCCAGCAGTGTGCCCAGGTGGCTAACAAGGCCAACAGCATCCTGGCTTGTATCAGAAATAGTGTGGCCAGCAGGACTAGGATAAGTGATCGTCCCCCTGTAATGGACACTGGTGAGGCCGCACATCAAATACTGTGTTCAGTTTTGGGCCCGTCACTACAAGAAAGACACTGAGGTGTGTCCAGAGAAGGGCAACAAAGCTGGTGAAGGGTCTAGAGCACAAGTCTGATAAGCAGCGGCTGAGGGAACTGGGGTGGTTTAGCCTGGAGAAAAGGAGGCTGAGAGGAGACCTTATCGCTCTCTACAACTACCTGAAAGGAGGTTGTAGTGAGACAGGTGTCGGTCTCTTCTCCCTAGTAACAAGCAATAGGATAAGAGGAAATGGCCTCAAGTTGTGCCAGAGGAGGTTTAGATTGGATATTAGGAAAAATTTCTTCACCAAAAAGGTTGTCAAGCATTGGAACAGGCTGCCCAGAGAAGTGGTTGAGTTGCCATCCCTCGAGGTATTCAAAAAGCGCGTAGACAAGGCACTTCAGGACATGGTTTACTGGGCATGGTTGACAGCTGGACTCAATGATCTTAAAGGTCTTTTGCAACCTAAATGATTCTATGATTCTAGAGGAGGCTTTCTCCTTCTCTAAATAAAACTAATGCCTTTAAGCACCTAAATTATGCATCTGAATGGCATATGAATTCCTCTCCAAGTATGTGTTTAGACCTCAAGGCTTAGTATCTGAAATCAGCCCTGGAGAGCAACGGGGTGGGGGATCACAGTGGAAGGGTGCCAGTCTTGGAGAAAGCCACCTTTCCTCATGAAAAATAGGGAAAGGGACAGCACTAACCATGACAGCTACAACTTTGGTCCCTGTTAGAATTTTTTAGATTAGAACCCATGACACTGCTCTGAAGATCATCTTGTGATAACCGGGAATTAAAGCCAGATGGCCAATCCTGGTCAGAGCCCAGAGCAGCTCCTGATGGGAAATTCATTCCTGTCTGCAACTTGCTGTGACGTTGGAATAAACTGAGAGGATTGTTCATCCATACACCAGTAAACTGAGCCATCCAAGGCAAAAGGACAGGTGTTTTCAAAGAAAGAAAAAGAAAAAGAAAAAAATAAAGTCCTGGGTTTTGTGGGGTCCTCCAGCTAGCTTGGACTGGATCCAGCCCATCCACTCCAACTTACCCCAGAGATTACCACCACTACCTTTGCTGGCTTTCTTCAGATATGCCCGAGTTGCTCGTTTCATCTTTTTTCTCCCCTTTGACACTGTCCAACTGCCCAGAATTAGTCTCAAGGAATTACGTTTACTCCGAAGACCATTTTTTCTGCTGTAATACTAAACAGTACAAATCCACAGCTGTTACTGAGATGCAACTGGAGACCTGAT